GGATCGAAACCGACAGAAGCTACTTTTTTGGCCTTATTTTTTCGCTGGACTTTTTTGCCTCTACCAAAGGATGCAATTCTATAACAACGAGCTTTCTTTTGTTGCCATTCGTTGACCCGACTCTCGACTGAGCTTGACCAAAAGCCCAGTGGAAGCGCACCACTCAATCGCTGCGACGAACAAACGGTCACGCGTGGATTGCATTGTAAGGATTCTATTTGCAAGGCGGAGCGACACAAAGACACGCGCATCACTGCGAGAGGTAGCCCTTGGCGAGTGCGATCTCGGCGTTCATGACGGAGCTGGTGGCGGCGCCGATCATGACGTTGTTGGAGAGCACGACAAACTTGATGTCGAATACGGGACACTCGCGCACGCGGCCCACGTTGACGCCGGCGCCGTTCTGCCAGTCGCGGTCGAGGCGCGGTTGCGGGCGGTCCTTCTCCTCGTGCAGCGTGATGGCCTGCGCCGGTGCCGAATGCACGCCGATCTTCTGCGCCTCGGTGGTGAATTCGGCCAGGCACTTCTTCACCTCCTCCACCGACGGTGCGGGACGCTGCTTGAACGATACCGATACGCATTCCATGTGGCCGTCGATCACAGGCACACGGTTGCAGTGCGCCGAAACCTTGAGCTCGTCCTGCTCGTGGTAGTCAAACGCCGTCTTGTCCGACTTGATGCCGCCCAGGATCTTGGCCGTCTCCCACTCGATCTTCTCCTCCTCGCCGCTGATGTACGGAACCACGTTGTCGAGGATGTCGAGCGACGAGACACCGGGATAGCCCGCACCCGAGATGGCCTGCATCGTGTTGACCAGCACACGGTCGAGCGGGCCAAACTTCTCCTCGAGCGCCTTGAGTGGCACGACGATTCCGGTGGTGGAGCAGTTGGCGTTGGTGACGATGAAGCCCGTCTTGGTGCCCACCTGCTGCTTCTGGTACGGCAGGATCTCCATGTGGTCCGGGTTCACCAGGGGCACCACCAACGGACACAGCGGGTCGGTGCGGTAGTTCTTGGCGTTGGAAAACACTCGCAGCTCCGCCTTGCGGAAGGCATCCTCCACCGGTCCCGCCGGTCCCGAGTCGAGGCCCGAGAAGACCACGGCGCATTCGGCAAAGTGGTGCGCCTGGCACTCGTACACGGGCATCTGCGCAACGTTGGCCGGGATGCGTCGGATCTGCTTCCATCGTCCCTCCACCGCCTGCGCATACGTCTTGCCCGCCGAAGACGACGACGCTCCCAACGCCGCCAGCTCAAACTGTGGATGCTCCGCAAGCTGCAGGATGAATCGCTGGCCCACCGTTCCAGTGGCGCCCAGAACGCCCACCTTGAGCTTGGCTTGTGATGCGGATGATGATGACATGTTAATGTTGCTCGAGATCAAGAGAAGAGCCTGGACAAGATGATGGCCAAGAAGAAGATGCACGTGCATGCATGGCCCCGTTGTTCTTCTCGACTGCCCTTCGCCACCACCGAGTCACCTGCAGCCTTTGCTGCGAGCCTGCTTTCCCGCACTGTCCAACTGCCTCCACCCTTTCTTCCGAATCGGCTCGCCCATCGAGTCACTGGAAAAAAATTCCATTCAGTGTGAGACCGTCATCTCGAAAATTCAAAATTCGAGCTCGTCATGTGCAACGAGGCAACGACACTACCGGCAGCGTATCAGATGCCTTGGATTGGGAACGAGGCAGCGCATCACAAGTACAGAGAGCCCCTGCGCCATCGCAACATGGGGCAGTGAGGGTCCCAATCGCCATCGCAGTCGCAGCGTGCTACGACTTCATGTTGGCCAGGATCTCGTGGTACGGCTGCACCAGCGAGGTGAGGTTGCGCGGCCTCGCGAGGATCTGCAGCACCTGCCCACACAGCTGGCGCTTGTCCAGGCCCAGGATGCTCGACTCCCAGTATGCATCCTGCTGCTTCTCGGGCTTGTAGTAGATTGGGCCGATGAGCGACTTGATCAGGTCTTCCGCCTGGTTCTTGATGCCCTCCTCGCCAAGCCGCTTGGCGTACGCCATGAGGTGGTTCTTGTACTCGGTGGCACTGTCCAGAATCACCGCCGCCATCATCCTCGCCTCGAGATGTCGCAGCGTCACCGCGATCACGAAATCCGACTTCTTGTCTTCCGGCACGCTCATCTCCACCTGCGGCGACTCGTCGTCCTCGGACTCTTCCTGCGCACCCACCGGATTGTCGCCGTGCACGCGACGCACGTACATCGTGTTGATCTCCGCCTCGACCGCGCGCACCGGGTCGCGGCTCGACGCCTCGTTGCCGCGACTGCGCGTTCGGCCATCCCATGCTTCCGAGTGCTCGGCCCACCATCCGTCACTGATGCATACCCATCCCAGCTTCTTGTCGTCGAACGTGTACGCCTTCTCGCTGTGCAGGATCACGATCGGCGCTCCGTTGGTGTGCACCGACATGGACACCAAATTCTCGGGTTCTCCCAGCACGTTGAGCACCGACACAGGCCGGTGGATCTCGCGGTCGCTTCGGATGTTCCACCGGTACATCAGTCCGGACACTGTGACTGCCATGAGCACCACGCCGTTGCTTTCCAGCCGGTAGCAAGCCGAGTCGAGCAGCAAATTGCCGATCCTGCGTCCTCGCGTCGTGTAGATCAACACTGTCGCGTCCTCGAGCGCCACTGCAGAGAAGAAGGCCGTGGCGGTTGCCAAGGTAGCCGCTGTCGGACTGAAGTCGATCCACAGCACTCGGTCCTTATCTGCCGAGTCGATCTGGGTGATCTCGGTGGGCCGTGACTCGTCAAAGTTGCGCACCTCTATCGTCGCTCCGTCCTCTTCCCGACGGTAGACGCTGAGCGTTTCGGGAACGGCAAGGTGGACACCCTTGCGCACGCCATGCTCGACAATGCCGCTCGCTCCGGTCAACGCCTCGCGCAGCACCTTCTTGGGACCGGGCGGATCGCGCGTGGTATCGCCGCCGAGTGTTCGTCCGATGTCGGATCGTGTCTTGCCCTTTTGCAACTTGCCGATGGGCTCAATGTCTTCCGAGTCGGACTCGGTCTGATCTGCTCTGCGCTTCTTGCCTCGCATGAATCGCTGCTGGAACTCGGCCCAGAACTCCATCATGGCCTCGGGAGTGGCGCCTTTGGGCATGATGCCGAATGGCAGCCCCACGGGCACGTAGGGCATCATCGAAGCAGCCGTGGCGTGCGGGATCATGACCGACGATTGAGCGGCCATGGCAGCACTATTGGCTGGGACGCTGCCGTTGGCCATGCCTGTATGTGCACCGTTGACGTCCGGACCGGGACCGAATCCGTCGGTTGTGGTTCCGCCCGCCGCCTCGCGCATGGCCGGGAGGTGGTGCTGACGTATCGCGTTGGCATTAGCGGGTTCGGATGCATACGGAGCAACGGGTGCGGGTGGAGGTGCGAGGTCGTCTCCGATGAGCGTGGGTCTGATGCGACGCTTGCCGTCCTTGGTGATGGTGATGGTCTGCTGAAGACGTTCTGTCTTGGCCGACGCTGGACGCACGGGTGCGACGCTGCCGGCGATCGGCACGGGTGCGACCGAGGCTCTTGCGGGATGCGCTTGTCCGGCTTTGCGGGGTTGGAGGACGTTGGGGCGATCCGAGGTGCCCAGCGCCATTGCGTTGCTGGATGGGCCGACGGTGTTGCGGATCCTCTTGACGCCGTGTTTGGCGCGCGACTGCTCGAGTCTCTCTGCGCTGAGAGCGTCGGAGATGATGTCGGGAGTGAGGTTGAAGACGGCGACGGTGCCGTCGGACGAGCAGGCATAGAGGGTGTAGCCGTCGGCGGACCAGGAGAGGTCCATGACCTGACGCTCGAACACGTCTCTGGCGACGAGCACGGGCTGCTCGAGGCCGGTGACCCAGATGGAGACGGACTGGTCGAGGGAGCCCAACGCGACGACGCAAGAGTGGGTGCCTCCGTCGAAGCCGACAAAGATCTTGGGACTGAATGCGGTGACGACGACGGCGTTCTCGTGGCCGACAAAGTAGATGTCGCTCGTCCACTGGGCTCGCTTGACGACGCTCGCGACAAAGACGGGGCCGCTCATGGCGTTTGCGCAGAGGAGCAAGCTGCCGTCGGGGGACCAGCTGGGACGGCGGAAGAAGGCGGTGGAGGGACTGGTGGTGAATGGCTCGGTGACGGACTTTTCGAGGCTCCAGTCGGAGGTGCGCCATACTTTTACGGTCTTGTCGTCCGAGGCAGTGGCGAGGAACTGGCCCAAGGGATCGAAGACGACGCCCTTGACAAAGCCTTGGTGGGCGTCGATGGTGCGGAGGCGGTCAAAGGTGGAGCCGGACCAGATAAAGACCTTGGAGTCGAGGCCTACGGTGGCGATGAACTCGTCGTCCTGCGCCCATGCGAGATCGACGACGTCGGATTCGTGACCTGCGAGGCGACGGTGGGGCCTCCAGCTTTCTATGTTGACGTCGTCGGAGCCGAAGCTGCCGCCGCCCATGCCGCTGGGGTCGAGGTCCCAGATGAGGCCGACGGTGTCATCGGAGCCGGAAGCGAGGAAGCGGCCGGAATTTGCCCAGCGCACGACGAGGACGCTGCCGGTGTGTCTGGAGAGGGTGGAGAGGAGGCGATGTGAACTGGCGTCTGCTTCGGTTGCTTCCGAGAGCATGGTTGCGGTGGCCCAGATGCGGATCTTGGTGTCCAAGCCGGCGGTGGCCAAGCGACTCGAGTCAGGATGGACGGCGACGCTGAAGATGGTGGAGCGCTTCGCCTTTTTCTCGTCGTTGTAGTGAGCCACCCATTCTGGCAAGATGAGAGACATTGTGGCAGAGGATGAGCGGATGGAGGGCGACGATCACCCGTGGGCGTAGCGACCGGACGGCCGAAGCGTAGAACGAGAGTGAATGCAGAATCGTCTAGCGAGTGGATGCGGATGTTTGCCTCAAGCCAAGAGACGACCGAGCAGCGAGGAAGCGCAATTCGAGTTGACTCCGAGGGAATGGTGATTGATGGACTGCTGCTGCTGCTGTTGCTGCTGCTGCTG